AACCATGCATACGTAATATCTATGCCACTGAACTAATAATGATACGTTTAATTATGCTTTAAAAGGGAAAGGAAAGGAAAGGAAAGGAAAAGGAAAGGAAAGGAAAGGAAAGGAAAGGAAAGGAAAGATGTATATATACACAAAAAGTAAAACAATTTTTTTTATAACTTTCCTTTTAAATATATATTACATTTAAACAATTTCTGTACAAGAATATAAAATATGACCAAGTAAAGCATTGTTAGTATCAAGATGTCGCATGAGGCTACACCATAATTTATCTATAGTGATTGACTGTGAACATAAGTTATGGATTTAGATTAGAATATTGGCATGTCAACATTTTGTTTCCTGCTCATCTTCTCCCAACACCCATAGCTAGGATTCTCCGAAGGGGAAGGCCAAATTCAAAAATCTGCCATTTTGTTTGACATTACTTTTTACATTTTTTAAATTTACAAATTCTAAAAACCTGCATTTTTTGTCACAAGGGGGCGGATGACCCCCTTGGCCTTCCCCCTGTTGACGCCTCTGACCCTAGTGTCATTTTAACAGCATAAAAAGGTAATGTTTTCCAGGTATAGAGCGGTTAAAAAAAAMCGTGAAACAAAGTGCAATAACTAAGGTGTAATAAATTGTAATACACCGAAGACACAAAAGAAAATCAAAAGAAAATGCGGACAATAAAGTGTATTAAAGTGTAATACGCTAAAGTGTATTTCATGGGTTTTTGATAACCACTCTAAAAGACTTGAAAAGTTTAATTGGAACCACATTTTATGCACTTATAATAAATGGGTATTGACTAATCTAAGTGTTGCCATGTGTTTAGCTAATGAGCTTTAAATGTTATAAGATGCATGGATCTCAGAGTTATATACAATAATGATTGTCATATACCTCATACTGCATTACAATATCCAGAAACAGTACCAAGGGGGGGGGGGGAGGGTGGGGTTTGGTGGAATTTAGTGTCATCTTGCACCTCCTCCTCCTCCACTCAGGTCTAATTTGAAGCACAAGCAGTTTATGCTGCTACAATCGGGAATGTCACAAGCGCAAGCACAGTTACATCCCCCACACTGTAAAACAAAASATTAAAGATTAATTAATTGATCTTGCATTTGCTCCAATGGAATCACTGATCCTGATGATTTTTTATTTATATATTCAAGCAAGCAAGTCATGTTAAATTAAATCCTGTCAAACTTAAGTTTATTTATTGTTTTGAACAACAGTTTATTTATCTATTATTTATCTCACGAGCAATGTGAGAACATCTTATGGGGAAAACAAAACTATTTTATTATTATTTCATTAGCTTTTTACTCAATTTTGTGACAGTGGTGACAACAAAAAATATTGTATCCTGGTCAAGCAAAATGCTCAACATCAACTTTATCATCACCACCATCTTCATCATTACCATCAACCTCACCACCATCTCCACCATCACCACCACATTTACCATCACCA